TGACCTTCTGATCATGAGGTTTTTCCTGAAAAACAAAGCTGGCAGATAAAAGATGATCGCAACACACACCAGTGATCGCACCTTAAATTTGGTAACGGATCAGTATGTAAACTAAATTACACTGCATCATAGTGCTGTGTCGTCGCTCTAGGACTAATTGGTGACAACAGGGGCCAAAAATGAATTAATTAATTTATCAAGGATGAAAACACTTTGCCTTCTTATATTCTGAAAATTATCATCGTTCATTTCGTAGAAAACTAATCCAAACCAATTCAAAAAGAAAAGAATGGTATATATTCAGCTTTTAACAAGACAAATATATGTTGCTCTGGTAAGTTTCCTAACTAAATAATGGCATCGAGTAGTGGCATATACGTTTGGTAGGGGGAAAGCCAAAGAAGAACATTGATAATATTTCTGCTTTCCAGGCCAGTTCACTAAATAATCAAACCACACAAAGTTGCAATAACATGTAAATTTATTTGGAATGCTGTTTCGATGTACATGTTAATGAAAAGCTTTGATTTCACAACGGTACATGTATAACAAAATGTCATGTTTATTTGACGAAACATTCAAAGAAGATGTATGAGATGTTAAATAAAATACATAACATAATATATCCACCAAAACATACGATGATAATGTGATAAATAGTATAGATATATATTGAGCGAAAGGATCTGTTGAGCACTTGTGTTATTGTAACAATACAGCCATGTCTAAATTTAGGTCAAACGTAATAGGGGAGAATTGTATAAGTGTTATCTCATTTATTTGCCAAATAATCTCAATCATTTCGAAATCAAATGATAGGCTGATAATGTTATGATTTTTTATTACGGTTTAGTAAACTAAAAGACTGTCAATAAATAATACTTTGCAAAAATTGTAATCTGGCGAATTTACCTCTTTTTTTGAAAACTTAGTTGCGATGACATGAATGGATGTTTGTATAATGAGAAATCATTTTTAACTAACCACTAATTAATACAAAGCAGCAATGCAAGGGTAGTTTGGAAAGCCATGGCTAAAGATGAAAGGACTTCATTTTAACTGATACTGTCACAGACTTATATAGACCTATTTCCGAGATAGTGACAATATATTTCATCATTAACAATTATCAAAGATATTATTAAAGATTTTTTTTAAAAAGGGTGCTCAGAAAGCCAAATACAAATGAACATGCAAGACGACAAAATCAAAGTTACGAAAAACAGCAATTTAATGAAGACGTGACATTTCATGATGTTTTATTTCTATATACACAGACTATGCATGTATTCATTTCAAAGTGAGATTCCATGCACCATTTAAGTAGTAGTACCGGTACCACATGAAATCCATGAAAAGGAACAACTAAGTCGAAAATGAATGAATTATTGCAAATTGAAATGATGAATAAATAATTTGTCACAACACTCATTTGTGGTATGAATATAATTCTCACTTATCAGGTTCACAGAACAAAACATCGTTTATTTATGGTAAGGGTATTACGGCATCAGTAAAAGTTCCTTGTCAGAGCTGTAGTTTTTTTCTCTCTCGAGTATGCCCCCTTATAATATATAGATGAAACTACGTACTAGAGTTACTTCCCATGTCAAGGTGTTATAGACCTAAGGAACTTGTGCTTTAGTAAAACAATTACATGGTGTATGTATGCTCCACCACCTGGTGACACTTTTGTACATGTTAAGTTCACATGGACCTGAGAATTTGTTACAGCTAAATGTTTAGACCTAAACTGAGGTGTTCCGAGTGATTTTACAAGCTTTAAAGGTTCAGGTCAATAAAAATGCCACTCCCAGTGATGGTTAATACGTATTTTCTTTTATACTGAAAATTGATCTAAGCCCCTTAATCTTGTAAAATCACGCTGAACACCTCAAAGGTTCAAAATTTATCTGTAAGAAATTCCCATGTTCCTGTGGTTATATAAGGTTTGACTGGTGTGCTTCTCTGTAAGATATTTGTTTACGTTCTTTTGTTGCGAGCACTGCCAATTCAACAGATATAAAGAAAGAACAACTGCTGGCCTGTTATGAAAGCAAAATCACACATGGTCGGAAACATTTACACTCCTGTAATTTATCTCATCATCTGACAAACAGGGTCAGATAACATTAAATTTAACTACTGAGAAACAGCACCTGACCCTGGTTTCAAAACAATATTTCTTAACTTGAAGGAATTCCTTTAAATTGAGTTTTCCCATAGGAAAGCATCACTAAACTTCGGAGAATTTCATTCATTACTGATTTTTTTTGTATAATGTTGTGTTATAAAAAATCATTAGGGAATTTCTTGAAACTGGGACCTAGGATAAAAAACATTTAAACACTTGTAGACTCTCTGACCAACTGCCACAGGAGGTCAGACAAACTTTAACATTTATAACGTAATAAATATAATACATCGTCATTTTTTTTTTATGTGAAGGAAAAGTTAAATGTTACAAAAGATATAATGGCACAACAGTATATCAAATACTTGAACACACAACAAGGATTGTGTATAAACGAATAATTCTCAAAATTTCTTTAAAATATATATATATATATAAAAATTAAATTGTCAATCAAAAACATTATACACACATGGAACAGGATTATAACTTAAATCAAAATAAAAGTTTTTAAACTTCAAACAAAAATCAATAAAACCCACTATCGGTTCATGAATGTTATGTACAAAAAAATAATTAATTTAAAAGCATACATATGAATATTAATAATAATTTTCCATATCAAAAATTTCTTCAAATCTTTTTTTTAACTATTAGTATATAAATAAAGGTTAGTTCAAAGCCTTTAACATGAGCTAGTACATGCGATACATGTCTGAACAGGCAACACAGCATTACAATAATAGTTTGCACAAAGTACATGTGATACTGAGCATACAGATTTTAACTTGGTACATACCAAATAGCTTTGACGAGTGTACATACTTATACATGCACTTTACCTATAGTTTTAACAGGGTACAAACTGATCGTACAGGTTTTAATTGGTATACAAGGTACATACATACCATAATAGCTTTGACAAGTTTACATACTTATACATGTACTTTACCTATAGCTTTAACAGGGTACAGACAGAACATACTGGTTTAAACAGGATTCATATGGAATATCAGTAGTGGTATACAGGAAACAAATTTAGACTTTGCCAGAAGCTCGACACATCAAGAAATTTTAATCTTTAAAATTGGATTTATGGAAGTATGACTGTATTACATACTAGCTTATATGGGACCATACTGATCACACTAGTTTTGACAAGGAAACATGCTAATTAATACAAACATATTTAATCACTATTTGTTTAATGTTTTGAAAATTTTCTTTCAGACCTCCAGCGTCACATAGTGATACATGTATCAAAAGCTGTTTTGTTGTCAATTTGTACCCCCTAGATCTATATGGTGCTATTTGAGATTTGTTTTTCATCTACAGGTTTGTTAGGTGGAACATTTTTCAATACATAATAAAGTGTTAATTTTGTATGTAAAGAGAAAGACAACATATCAAACTAAACATATTCAACAAGACACCAAACAAAAAGTTTGAGATTTTATATTAAAAAGTTTTAAAAAAAAGTGATTAACATATAGATAACAAGTGACTTAAAACAAGCTGGTTATTACATATCAATTTGAAACATTTAAAATCAGTCGATATGCCTTTTTTTTCTATACATACCATAAATTCTTTTCATATACATATTTCTTTTTAAATATAAATTTATATACATGTAACTAGTGCAACGCAATGGTAAACATAATATATGCATCTTAACAAAATAGCAAGCTTCTATATCCTAATCATAAAATTTAAATATTACAAAAAAAAACAGCAGCAAAAAAAAGATGAGCTTCAAATTTAGCAGTAAACACTTATTTGTCACCATGGTAAATGTTATTTGTCACCATGGTAAATGTTATTTGTCACCATGATAAATGTTATTTGTCACCATGACAAATGTTATCTGTTACCATGATAAATGTTATTTGCCACCATGATAAATGTTATTTGTCACCATGATAAATGTTATTTGTCACTAGTGATAAATGTTATTAGTCACTATGATAAATGTTATTTGTCACCATGATAAATGTTATTTGTCACCATGATAAATGTTATTTGTCATTAGTGATAAATGTTATTTGTCACCATGATAAATGTTATTTGTCACCATTATAAATGTTATTTGCCACTATGATAAATGTTATTTGCCATAATGACAAATGTTATTTGTCACTATGATATATGTTATTTGCCATAATGACAAATGTTATGTGTCACTATGATAAATGTTATTTGCGACTATGATAAATGTTATTTGTCACTATGATAAATGTTATTTGTCACCATGATAAATGTTATTTGCCACTATGACAAATGTTATTTGTCACTATGATAAATGTTATTTGTCACCATGATAAACGTTATTTGTCACTATGATAAATGTTATTTGATACATGTTATTTGTCACTATGATAAATGTTATTTGTCACCATGATAAATGTTATTTGCCATAATGACAAATGTTATTTGTCACTATGATAAATGTTATTTGCGACTATGATAAATGTTATTTGTCACTATGATAAATGTAATTTGTCACCATGATAAATGTTATTTGTCACCATGATAAATGTTATTTGCCACTATGATAAATGTTATTTGTCACTATGATAAATGTTATTTGTCACCATGATAAATGTTATTTGTCACCATGATAAATGTTATTTGCCACTATGATAAATGTTATTTGTCACTATGATAAATGTTATTTGTCACCATGATAAATGTTATTTGTCACCATGATAAATGTTATTTGCCACTATGATAAATGTTATTTGTCACTATGATAAATGTTATTTGTCACCATGATAAATGTTATTTGTCACCATGATAAATGTTATTTGCCACTATGATAAATGTTATTTGTGACTATGATAAATGTTATTTGTCACCATGATAAATGTTATTTGTCACTATGATAAATGTTATTTGCCACTATGATAAATGTTATTTGTCATCATGATAAATGTTATTTGCCACTATGACAAATGTTATTGCATCACAATTGCAAAACTATATTCAAAATGCTAAAAAAAATGAATTCTTACATGATTAGAAGTGCTGTAAATGAGGGATGAACTCTAATTAGGGCAAGAGGTTTTATAAACAAGGGGAGCAAGTGGAACATAAATACACAATTTGAGTACTTTCTGAGAAATAGCAATAACAAACCTAAATAGTCAAAACCAAGACGGCCACCTGTTGGCCATTTTGTTGTCCACATAACCTAAAAAGTAAATATGCGCAACTAGGGACCACGGAGAACCTACATATCAGTTCTTAGAAGGATTCCTCCAGTATTATCTGAGATATAAAGAAAAACTATTAACCGTCAAAATGAAAGATGGCCACCTGTTGGCCATCCTGGTTTACCCATTAGTCACAGACTTTGAAATGCATAACCTGGGACCATTGGGAACCTTCATGCAAATTAAAGTAAGAACCCTCCAATACTTTCTGAGACATAGCGCAAGGACACTTTACCTCTTTGCCACCTGTTGGCCATTTTGGTTCCCCAATCAGTCCAAAGATTTCGTATGCATATCTAGAGACCATGAGGATCCCTCCAGTATATTCTGTGAAATAGCACTCACAAACTTTTAACTCTAAAAACTTAAGATGACTCCCTGTCATCAATTATGGTTTTCCAATCAGTCCAAAAATTTGGTGTGCATAATCACACATGATCCAATGGGAGTATTGTTGTGAAATTTGGAAAGACACCTCCAGTGCTTTCTGAGAAACAGCGCTAACAAGAATTGTTTAAGTAACGGACATACAGAGTGACAGACGTACGCACAACGGACAATGGGTGTTTTGTATATCCCACCATCACCAGATAATAAATAAATGACACAGTCACATCAAGTATTTAAAATGATATCAGACCAAAAACAGTACAAAATAAACAACAAAAATCTGCAGATTTACATGAACATAATACAATTCAACATTCTCTACTGTCAAAAACTTAAAAATAAAACTATGCATTATTTGAAGAAGCAATCTACTAAAATTAATCCATACAGCAAAATCCATGTTGAATCAGCTTCATAAGCGAAAAGGCAATCTTTAACATTTAATCTACACAAAAACGTGTAAACAAGCTAAATCGTTTCAAATCTCAGGATATATACATATGACAATTACAGTTTACAGTGTGTATATGCTCTCTATCGATAGGGGAGACATCCCTAGTCGAGTCATTCTTGAAACGTTGCAACACTTTTAATACATTACGTACGTGATTGTTTGTGTATAAAGTAAAACTTAAATATTACATTTATTTCCAAACTAATGAATCTGACTGAAAATAATATTAGGAGTTTAAGCCACCCATTAAGAATGTATCTGTTCGACGTAACCCGACCCGAAACATTTTAGGTTTGCATTTATAGGTGGGTTAAAATATTTTGTTTATCGTAAAAAGAAAAAACTTAAACTTTAATCAATTCTAACAAGAAGCATAGTTCAACAGAGGCAACCCACCCACCCAGTTTTATCCCCTTGACACAGTCATGCACATATAAGCACTTCACATATCCTATATTCATAAATGTCAGTAAAACGCTTCACAGATCTGCATTTCTAAATGGGGACAATATATAGCGTACCTGGATTTAACATAAAAATACAATTCAGTAGAAAATTTCAATGAAACCTTTGCAGTCTGGCCGTTTTTTCCTGGGTCTGGTATGCTATGCCAAGCATGCCTAATTTATATTAAGGTCGGACACAACTAATCAATCAGTTTTACATTGTTAGGTCACACCCCTTGGCTCTTAAGTATCAAAGGTTATAGAATATTAACTTGTACCTTGCATTCTGGTTTTGTATTGGTATCAGACGAACACAAATCAAAGAATCTATGTTGTAGATTGTCCATATTGCTTTCGTAGCCTTGATCCGAGTTCAATAATGGTTCCGTTGACGAGGGATTCGAGGTCATGTTGTCTTCTGTGATTGGATGGTATTCATTGCCTGTTGGTGAGTGGGGATGGTATTCATTGCCTGTTGGTGACTGGGCATGGTATCCATTGCCTATTGGTGAGTGGGGATGGTATTCATTGTCTGTGGGTGAGTGGGGATGGTATTCATTGTCTGTGGGTGAGTGGGCATGGTATCCATTGTCTGTGGGTGAGTGGGGATGGTATTCATTGTCTGTTGGTGAGTGGGGATGGTATCCATTGCCTGTGGGTGACTGGGGATGGTATTCATTGTGACTGTCATTTTGCATGAGGGGGTGGTATTCATTGCCTGTTGGTGACTGGGCATGGTATCCATTGCCTGTTGGTGAGTGGGGATGGTATCCATTGTCTGTGGGTGAGTGGGCATGATATCCATTGCCTGTGGGTGAGTGGGGATGGTATCCATTGCCTGTGGGTGACTGGGGATGGTATTCATTGTGACTGTCATTTTGCATGAGGGGGTGGTATTCATTGCCTGTTGGTGACTGGGCATGGTATCCATTGCCTGTTGGTGAGTGGGGATGGTATCCATTGTCTGTTGGTGAGTGGGGATGGTATCCATTGCCTGTTGGTGACTGGGCATGGTATCCATTGTCTGTTGGTGAGTGGAGATGGTATTCATTGTGACTGTCATTTTGCATGAGGGGGCGGTATCCATTGTCTGTTGGTGAGTGGGGATGGTATTCATTGTGACCGTTATTTTGCTTGTTGGAAAGGTATTCGTTGTATGTTGGAATGTGTGAAGGCGGTACCCATTCTGTTCGTGTGTGGATGGGGCAAGGGAGACTACCGTCCTGCTGGCTTTGGTCATTGAATATGTTTCTATTGACGGGTGGAGACACTGGGATATTGGGGGGTCGGATATACGGATGCACAGGGCATTCATGATCATTTTTCTTCTTTTCTTCTACTTTTTCGTCTCCATTAATAACTTCAACTTTATCCTCCTGTTGGTACTGGTTCATCATTTTTTCAATCTGCTGCTGCAGAGCATTTTCATTTACTGCATTGAGCTCAGACTTGTCGCCAGTAAGATATTTACAAAGTTGTTTACAATGGAGAGTTAAGTCAAACTTTCTATGTTCCCCAATGTTTTTCGATACTGTTCCCATATCCGCATACCCGGGAATGTATAACACCACAATTTTCAAATTCCCTTTAGTACTTAAATCTTTGGAGAAGGTAATAGCCTCCTTGAAGTAGTCTTGGACAGTGCACTGGGGGTTAATCTCTATGCTACTAAGGGTACTGCGATTGGACATGCAGTCTGAAGCAGATGGAGACCACAGGACCAACAAATGTGAGCACTGTTTCACCTTCACCTGAAACAAGTCAAATGGAGGAGTCTGATCTTTCTCCCAATCTTTGTCATACAAGACCTCCATGGAAGACAGTTTGTCGTTGAGGAAACATGTTATGCAGGGCACAAACCTCTCAGCTTCCCTCATATACAGTAGAAATGACTCTGAAAACAGAGAGACAGAGCTGGTATTAGAAACATGGTATATCTATATGTGTTAGGAACAGACTAATGACTCTTTTAAACAAAATAAGTCGTTAAAAAGGTTCATATTGCTGATGCTTTTTAATTTTTATTATTCTAAAACTCCCTACCTTTATGCAAGGTTAGACACTAACTGTTTAAAGTACGATGAATCTAATCAACCAGTCCTTGGTTGGTTTCACTTGTCCTTGCCTATGCAAATGCCAGGAATGGATCAGTATCGGATAGGGAGAGGGTGTAACAAAATAACTAGTCTGTATGACTAACAGGTTTGCAACATTTACTAAATCCTTCTTATTTTTTTTACTAGTCCAGGACTAATGGACTAATGTTAGAGTTGAACCCTGATATGGACAAGAATGTTAAATTTCTACAGTGCAGAATTGAAATTATTTCACAATGTTCTGCCGTGTGATATTTAAGAATATCTGTACAATCATTTTAAGGCTACATTCAAAGACCTACACATAAGTTGCCCCATCTGCCTGGAGTCAAATCTGCACCCTCCCGCACCTCAGTGTTCATGTATATATGGACGGAATGTTGTATTCATTTTTTGTACATATATGAACTGTAAAAAATTTACTGTATATATGCACTGCACTGATAAACCACAAGGTTTAAGGTAATAAAGAATGAATGAGTTTTGTCCACTGCTCAAGGCCTTTAATACAGCTACATTATAACTAGTGTTCAAATAACAAATACATTTCTTGATGACTAAGTGTATTTCCATAGCCAGGTAAGACATGTCCCTAGCAGGTATAGATGTATTTGTATTTCAAACATAGCCTAAAATTGAACTTAATAAAGAAATGTGTTTTAAACAATGCAATGTATTACCATTCTCAATACTCTAGGTGTTACGCTCATTTACACTTGCGTAATATCTGGAATATCTCATAGCAAAAACATTTTTTCCTTTCAGAAACAAGAGATTCTCATTCAATAAAACTTTTAATCTTACCTATTTCGACCTTGATGAAAACACACCTGTGATTCTGATTCATGATAACAGTACTAAAAGTGGACATCATTTCTGCATTACGGTAAAACTAACAAACAAAATGGAAAAAATGTAGGATTTTTTTATTGTAATTAAACTTGAAAAAACATACAGGGGTAATTCAGACCACAAAATTGTAGTAAGATTTGGCAGCTCTTTCTGTCCCATAGGGTGTCACATTAGAAGGATTTCAATTAAATATATTCAAAAGAACTCACTTTTCTTACGCTCCTGGTGATTGATTGGCAATGAGCAGAAAAACTTGAAGATGTCCCTATTATTCCTCTGCCAATAAAGTAGAATCAACAAACTGATGGCTATCACAATACTAACTGCAATCACAAGGACAGGAATGACGAAGTCTGTAGTAGGGGTCGATACCGACACACTTGGTCCTTGGAAACGAAAAAAAATCACAATTTGCTTTTTATTTGATAAATATAATTTAATATTTCCTTATGGAAGCAATGAGGACAAAGCAGGATAAGATAGTATACTGGTCTGTGATACCAACACCTTTCAAGGAATTGCAAGCAGGATCACTATCGATTGGCAAAGGCCAGATGGGCCTGCCAATCCAAATACTCAGTAATTTAAAACAATTTCCTTATTTTTCTTCTTGTACATACTCCGAATTTTGTCTCAAGAGTTCTTATTTTGAGAACGTACAAAAAAAAATCAAAAAAAATAAATAATACATTCTCTGCACCAAAGATCATCATCACTTGCACTTAAAGCATAAGAGACTAGCTAGGTCAGGAAATTCAAGATACAATCTTGAAGAATAGTGTTTCATCTAATACAATTTTGAAAAAAATAGAAGGCCAAATGTACTGTACTGTGTATGAGGTAGAGTTTGCTTAATTTTTTTATCAAATTAAAATCAAATAAAGAAGATAACGTATTTAGTATTTTTAAAGCTTGCACTAGTGAAAATTAATAATATCAAACAAGGTTACAATAAAATTAAATATTAAAGCTTGCACTAGTGAAAATTAATAATATCAAACAAGGTTACAATAAAATTAAATACAAACTTGTTGCTCCCAGAATTATGAAGATTGCTGATTTGAACGTAAATACAGGCTTCTCTCCTTTTGTATGCTTGACCAAAAGCTAGGAAGGAGAACAGAATAATACATGAATTATCTCCCTTGGATAGTGAATAAATCTATAAAAATATTTATATATTTTTTCAATTGAAATTGTTTTACAGACATGCAAGAAAAAAAAGAAAGAAAATCATTAGGTACAATTCATATTAGTTAACATTAATATTTAAAAGTTACTGTGACATATTTATTGATTCATGCAAATAATTCTGTAATCAAAGTATCGTAATTAAGGTAAACTTCTCAAAGGATTTTCCACATGCTGTATAATCTACAATTAATTGTTTTTCCTTCAATTTCTGTCATTATGAACAAGTGTTGAACTGAGTAAGTGAAGAAAATATTCATTTGTATATAAATACCTTAGCCCGGTATGTACCTGGCTCTACGTTACTGAACTCACAACTGTACTTCTGAAATAAACAGAATTTATGAAAGTACAAAACGTTTGACCAACAGACAGCATGGTTTCCCCTGAATAAAACAGCTTTTTACAATACACTGTAGGTTTATTACAATGTTTATAAACGGTACATGTATATACAGGTACAAGTTTGAACTGAAATGTTAAACATTAACCAAAAAGGACTGAAATATTAAACATTTACCAAAAAGGACTGAAATGTTAAACATTAACCAAAAAGGTCTGAACTGTTAAACATTAACCAAAAAGGACTGAAATGTTAAACATTAACCAAAAAGGACTGAAATGTTAAACATTAATCAAAAAGGCAAATTAATAAGGGTTGTTTCATCTTCATTTTTTTCTTAATTTTGCAGTCAAATCGCGGAGAAAATTTTGGTGACATTTTTACAATCATCATAGTAAATGCTCAGATTAGTTCAAAACAGAATTTCCTGAAGAGCTCTAACAAGGAGAAAACTTACCTGAGCAGATCCAACAAAACTCTGAACACTAGTTTTTTGATGTCCATTTTCGTCTACCAGAAAAATCTCATATGAGACACCTTTGGATCCTGTGGGACTAAATACAACATAAACACTGTTGTTCGGTAAAAGTGCTGTTGCTATCACTGGATACCAATCTGTTTCATCTAAAATACAAATATAAAATCAAATGACATTATTTATTGAAGGAATGTATTAAAAATTAAATCAGTCATAAATCTAATGCCCTAGATTTAATTTTCTTGGGGGTTTTACAATTCTAAACAGGGCTGCCTTAATTCATTAAAAGAAGAAAAACTTAATTGTATGGAAAAAAAGAACACTTTTAAATCGAGGTGTTCACAACAGAAAAATCATGTTTCAGTACAAGATCACATTAGCATTAAAACTATGCTAATCAATACAATGAGACTTCACAAAAGATGAAATATACCTTTAATTGGAGGCTGTTGCACAGTCCCCCCCCCCCCCCCCCCCCCCCAAGAATTTCATACAAATTTTGCCTGTCACATTTAATTACTTTAAACAGTATAATGTGTACTCATATTCGCTGTCATAATATTTGCTGTAATTGTAGAGGGCAAAAAAGATGAAGGTTAAACTGCAATGAAAATTTCCTGGTAAACAGTATGTAGAAACTATTTCAAACTTCTAATCTGACCTATTGAGACTTTCAACGATATTAGATATGAGTATAAGCCTCAATAAACAGGTGGTTGTGTACTTACTCAGGTAAGCTGTGGCAGTGAAGTTGAGTTCTAAATACAGGCCAGCGCTATGTGCATAGGTGGTCAGCTGGATGTTGTAGACACGAACCTTCCCACAGATGTCCAGACCGGTCAGACACTTGAATACCACTTGTTTCTAAAATAATAATATATTTTCTGTAATTAAAACCGTTCAAAATCATTGCAGCAAGATATTTATATAATCATTGTACTTAACCTATACTTTACTTCAGTGTATTTTGAAATCTTTTGATAAGCTCCATTCAATTATATTATATGCTACGATACTGGCTAATTATTTTCAACCTGGGAAAAAAAAAAAATCGAAAATATATGCACAATATTTTTCTTTAAAAAAACACTAAAAAATGTCTGTAAGACATGAATGCCCCCGTCACCATGTGAAATTAGTTTCAGTGTTTGATGTTTAATAGGAAAATTGGAGGGGATCTGTGTCCTTGCTGTTATAATGGGAATACCAATACCTATATATATATATATAATCCTGCTACTTATAGAGAAAAAGGTCAAAACTAATTCAACTGGTGTTAATGCAGATATGAATTATTTTATAATAATTTTCTATACTTTCATCAATATTAAACCATTAATTTAGAAGAAACAAGACAGTAACCTACAGTAATAATAGCAATAACACAAATTTCACTTATTTGGGTGAAGTGTTAGAGGGACAGAAACTAATATAACTTGGTGCAGTTATGGTACTTATTGAAAACTGTGAATCCTTAAGTTTTTCACTGAGAGATGTGAAATATAATACATGGTTAATTTTTTACATTGTATGTATGTTCAATTATAGAATATTGAAATTAATTTAATATTAAATCTTTCATTTTTTAACAATTATTCATTTAAGTTTTTGTAATATAATGTGCATAAAATAGGTTTTTATTGTCCATGTACCTGTGTTTCAATGATTTGTCAATGTTCAACATCAAAGATGGTGGTATTCCATTGTGTTTTCTATAATAATAACAATTCTAACTTTCCACTCAAGTATCTTTTGTTCACATTTAAACACATGATTCTAGGAATATGAATGTTACTGGTATGATGTCAACTATTTATAACAGCATTAAAGCATCAATTCCATATTTTGACCCAGTGACTAAGTCTCTAAGGGCGAGGCTGGGGCCGGAGGTTAATCTTAGTAGTATGGTTGTATTTACCTCCTAATATACATATACAATACATAAAAGTAATGTAATGTTAGGGTGAGGATCTCGGTCGTTTTCAGAAGGAGATGGAATTTAAAGATTTACCTTTATTTTGTTTCCTTTATCTTGCCCTGTACCTCCACCACCAATTGGGCAACACTCACTATTTTAAACAACACTGAGTAACCTTGCCCAGAGTATGCCCCAGATCAAATTCAGTTAAACTTCTTTTGTCCTTACAAAAGGAGAAGAAAGTTAATGATTTACCTGTATTTCCCCCCAAATGGGCCCAACCCTTTTCCCTTTTGCCCCGAAAAAATGGTGTTTCAGGAAGACTTGATAATCCCCCCCCCCCCCCCCAAAAAAAATCAAAAAAATATCCTGCTTAATTAAGCTTTCAACCACTTAGTCCAGGTGTGATTAGTGATAACTGCCTACGATATTTACCGGTAGCTCCATATCATACGATGTAGGGGTGTAGTTCCTAAATCTGTACAGCCGTGTGATTGGATGTCTGTAGTAATATGTATCCCTATACTCAATGGTCTCAACACTCGAAAACACAATCCGCATCGACTCGGGAACTTCTGATTAATATAAATAGCAAACAGTTAAATAGACATACAAGTATCCTGTTTCGCCCTCCGTAATGAGGACGAATATATCATTACAGAGAATATAAGTAAACAGCATAATATACATAGTAATTAAATTTAAACGACGAAATTAAAGGCGAAAGATGACTGGGCTAAAATTACCCTGTATACAGAATAAGTTTATTTATTTGAAGTTAAGTACATTTCTTAAGTTGTCTCAAAATTCAGGTTTTTTTCTTATGAAAAAAAAGGTAAGCTCTAATGGCTTTTCTCGCTTTACCTTACCAAACATCGTTAATTAATACAACTCAATGACAAAAATCACTATACAGATTTGGAGACAAGGTTTTTGGATACTAAGGTGACTTTTTATCGGTCAAGTTTTGCTGTACTTCTTTGGCAGATAAGTGTTTAGATTTCAGTCTAGGTCACACCAAGTCAACAAAGCTAATTACTGCATACTTCCCACCTCTCACAATGGAAAAGTGTGGGCAATAAATCAATTGCTACCACAGTCCACTGCACACATAATCCCCTTTCAAGGCCAATCATGATTATATTACATGACCATGAGAGGGTGTGTGCCCAGTGGACTGTGGCCACAAATGCTGTAAGAAAGGGGAGATAATCAATCAGTGAGTAACGATGAAGTCAATACAGTAGAGAATAAACTTAGTTGACACATTTCAAATAAGGGGAAAAAATGAAAGTTAAAAATGGTAATTTCATGATTGAAAAACACAAACAGATTTCCTTATCACGTGAGAGGATAAGCATTTCCCGGAAAAGTTTATAATCTTAAGGAGCTGTTCCTTTATACAAAATTGCACATTCAAATATACCATTCATTGAAAGAACTGGAATTCCTTAGGGATTGATAAACCCTTACATTGTATATATGAAAATGGCCTGTACCTTTGCCACATCTTGAAAATTGAACTGAAAATGTAGTCAGAAATTCAACATTGTTTCCCGTATTTTGAACAGACACTCCTTACCTTCCCTGACACTGGACCTGGATAGTAATCCAAAAACACCTGTATCCATTATGAAGGATACACTCAGACTGGGCTATTGAGAATCTTACCTGGTTATGATTAGTACTCACTCACATAGGTACATGTAAATTATCTGCAGTGTAGGGTAGGTAAAAATATTGTCCAGGTGAACTTTTTTTACTCAACTTTTCTGTTTTGTTCGAGTTGGGAAGCATGCAGTAAGCCAGTTATTGCATGATTTCTCGTCACTCGGGACTTATTACCCCCGAGCGAAGCGAGGGTGTAATAAGTCCCGAGTGACGAGAAATCATGCAATAACCTTTACTTACCATTCTGTTGACCAGGCCCATACAGCAGGTATGGGACATTCACCTTCACCTTCAAGGCTGGATAGCCAACCTGTTTGTCTGTCTGATTTCTCTGAAAGAGCAATATAAAAAGTTTCTGAAAAGTTATTACCTTTTTTTTCAATCCATAATACTTCAATTAAATCAATTTGTCCTTGATCAAACCTTAATTACAAGCAATAAGTAAGTATGGTATTGGAATTTTCAAACAAAACCATGCAACATCCATGTATCTGTCTTCTACAAAAACTTAGCTCACCATAATCCCACCTTGTGTTTGACATATGGAGTGAGCACAAGTCGTTATTTGTAATACTCTGGTTTTAGATACAATGACCCTGAATTTAGACCAATAATAACCATACTCAAATGACCAAGGCAAATATATATGTCTGTAAAGTTTCTTGAAAATATGTCAAGAAATATAGCCACCTTGTGACCTTGACCCAATACTGATTGGTGGTTTTGACCCTTTGTAGGGCTAGACATTAAGGGAAGCCTATAATAATTGGAGACTAGTGAAATCTTTACCTGGGCTGGCTTGTGGTTCTAAAAACCACCAGCCTGACTGATTTGTCAAAATTTGATATCGATTACCATGTTTAATGCTATCGGGTCAGTGGAATTAATTTCTAGCCCTGCTTTGTTGTTTGTGACCTAGACCACATAATGATTGGTGACCTTTACCAAGTAGTTGGTGGTGACCTCAAACTTTTAGTAGTTGGTGACATTGACCCAGTAGCTGTTTGTGACATTTACCCAGTAATTGATGAAGACCTTAATCTTTTAGTAGTTGGTGACCTTAATCCAGTAGTTGTTGGTGACCTTAACCATTTAGTAGTTTGTGACCTTAACCATTTAGTAAGTGATGACATTGACCCAGTAGTTGTTGGTGACATTGACCCAGTAGTAGTTGATGACCTTAATCCAGTAGTAATTGATGACCTTAATCCAGTAGTTGTTGGTGACCTTAACCATTTAGTAGTTTGTGACCTTAACCTTTTAATGGTTGGTGACCTTAACCTTTAAGTAGTTTGTGACCTTAACTTTAGTAGTTGATGACATTAACCTTTTAGTAGTTTGTGACCTTGACCAAGTAGCTGTTTGGGACATTTACCCAGTAGCTGTTGGTGACCTTGACCCAGTAGCTGTTGGTGACCTTAACATTTTAGTAGTTTGTGAACTTGACCAAGTAGCTGTTTGGGACATTTACCCAGTAATTGTTGGTTACCTTAACCCAGTGGTTGTTGGTGACCTTAACCTTTTAGTAGTTGGTGACCTTAACTTTAAGTAGTTGGTGACATTGACCTTTTAGTAGTTTGTGACATTGACCTTTTAGTAGTTTGTGACATTGACCCAGTAGCTGTTTGTGACATTTACCCAGTAATTGTTGGTTATCTTCACCTTTTAGTGGTTGGTGACCTAGACCTTAACCCAGTAGCTGTTGGTGACCTTGACCCAGTAGTTGTTGGTGACCTTAACCTTTTAGTAGTTTGTGACCTTGACCCAGTAGCTGTTTGTGACATTGACCCAGTAATTGTTGGTTACCTTAACCTTTTAGTGGTTGGTGACCTAGACCTTAACCCAGTAGTTGTTGGTGACCTTAACCCAGTAGCCGTTTGTGACATTGACCCAGTAATTGTTGGTTACCTTAACCTTTAAGTGGTTGGTGACCTAGACCTTAATCCAGTAGTTGTTGGTGATGGAACGTAAAACTTACCTGGTACAAACTGACAGCAGAGATAAGCGGTAAAGGGCTTGTTGAATTGTTGGCTGGTTTAAACGCTGTGATGTCATACTGCTTGCTGTAATCATTCCAACCTATAAACATACAGCGATGAACTGATTTATTACATTAAATCCTGTAATAGCAGTTATAAAAACAAGAGGCCCAAGAGGGCCTGTATCGCTCACCTGAATATTTAAGCAGTCATAGCAAAACATTCTCATTAAATATTATATTGCACTAAAAATATTTCCCTTGCAAACTTTGTTGGCTCCATCTGTTGAAACTACCAGCAAAATATTATTATAAGATTCTATGCTTTTTGATTCTTCTTCAGAAGTTGCTTGACATATTTTTCCCTGTGATCTTGTAAGTAGGTCAATGTCATTTTCCTTCTCAAATTGGTTAGCTCTATTCCAAAAAGCTACCAGCCAAATCTTATGAATCCATTCCTTTTAGTTCTCAAGAACAAATCCATTAAAATGTTGTTGACCTCTGTGACCTCTAAAGTAGGTTGAGGTCATTTTCATTTGCAAACTTTGGTGAGCTCTATCCCGGGAAGTCACCAGCCAAATATTATAATTTTATGCCTTTTAATTCTTCAGAAGAAGCTGTTTGAACTGTTTGACATATTTGAACGCTGTGACCTTGAAAGTAGGTCAAGGTCATTTTCATTCGCAAACTTTGTTTGGCTCTTTCCCAGGAAGCCACCTGCCAAATATTAAGATTTTATAACTACCAGTTCTTCAGAAGAAGTCGTTTAAAGTGTTTGACATATCTGCCTCATGTGACCTTAAAAGAAGGTCAAGGTCATTTTCATTCTCAAACTTTGTTCGGCTCTTTCCTAGGAAGCTACAA